TTCTCGTATATGGTGAGCCAATGCCCAATAGAATATTTCCTACAGAGGCTACTCCCCAACCTAAGTGCATATGCAATGTTCATATACAACATTCATAATTATATAATCATTCCAATCAAGAATATATATGATTCATGTTGGAATCTACCATGTCATGCCATGAATGAAATGAGATTCACTCACGCACATCAACCCGAGCCCCCACCGTCTCTCACCACACTATGCAATGCAAGTGTAAAACCCTTATCATTGATGAAATAGATCCAATGATCATTTTTGAAATACAAACTATATGTTTATAAAACTATTTCATTCATAGATGTTTCCCATCAAATAAAAATTTTGTATTACAAAATCATGTGTCTATGTTAGGTATCAGATTCCGGAATCACACCAACTGACTCCGTATGCCATTACACTTTTTTGGAATTTCAACACAGAAAAATGTATGAACCAAGTAGCCAAATTTTTCACCCGAGGGAGTGTCTAGCCCTTCTTGCTATACCCGACACAAGTTTTTTTCATGCAACATACGACTCCATGGGATCTTTGATCCAACATCTCCGAGTCCACATTTCAATCACCAAGAGTGCTATTGATTAAATCATACATACACACCCACACTCATGCCTAAGCCCATGAATGTGATGTATTTTCTCCATGTAATATGCAATGTAATAAACTATTGCATAATCAATGTCATACTCATATATAAAGAATGTCACATGAGTCATTTAACCACATATCTTACATATGTCATAGCAATTTCAATGAAAGCATATAATTACCATAAATTATCGCAATGTTAAAACATCAATTAGCACGTATTAACATTTCCTTCCAACACATTTTATAAGCATGTTAACAACACACTTCATGTACAAGCACTATAAAACATATAGCATGCTCAATATATCAAGTTTTAAGGGATTGCACAAGTACTTCCCCAATACCAACTTTGCTAGGATTTGGTCTAGGCCAATTCCATACCTATTTCCTCTATTTCTTAACCATAGTCAAGTGACTTAGGTTATTCCAAACCCTTACCCCATTCATAATACACCCTAGGTAAGAAAATGAACCAAAATAGGAGAAACCCTACCTCTTCAAGCGTATTCCCTCTCTATGGTCAGTTAGTAATGAATCTTTCTTGTTGTGTCGTGCCCTATAGATGAGTAATGGGAAGCTCGCCATAAAAGCAAGGAAGCAAAAGGTAACAGAGGACATCGAGAGCACTATTCTTATTTCTTATTAGTGGCCTTGCTTTAGTAATAGCTTGCTTTGCTTGAGTAAGAGATAGATATGCAAGTCCATGTTTGACGAAGCGGGATATAAAGGGCTTCCCTTTAAAGAAGCTTTGTTGAGAGAATAGGAGTGCGCTGCGAACGGGCCCTAAGAAAGAAAAGTCAAACGGTGGTATGTCAACGCTTGTAGTCAACAAGGTTTGGAACCCATGCGACGCCTTTCTCCGTAGGAAAGAAAAGTCAAACAGTGGTATGTTAACGCTTGTAGTCAACAAGGTTTGGAACCCATGCGATGCTGCGCCTTTCTCCGTTTCGTGTTTTTTGATGATATAGTTTTCTAAGATAGGACAGGTCAGGGGCAGGTGTCTTCGATATGCGATATCCAATACTCTTTCTCAAGTAGGTATGAGATATCCAGTATGCAATGCGATATGCGAGATGCGCTTTCTTTTCTGAGCAGACTATATTGCTTTATATCTCTGTCCTTTACGTCTTCCCGGCTAGGTGAATCAATCTATTCTTCTTTCCAAGCAAGCGACAAAGGGTGTCTTAGAATTTTTTTTTTCCTTCTTATTAAGATTTTTTGCTTCTTTATTAAGAGATATTTTACTTTCCCATATAGTAATATTCTTCCTTCAATGAATTTCGGGTGTCCCCCTTTGTAGGTTTTCTTTTGCTCTACTTCTAAGGATAGATAGTTTAGGTTGGATATAAATCCTTCCGCTGTTTATGTGAATCAAGGAGCAAGAGCATTTTAGGATTCAAAAAAGGCTTCAAGCTCAGCAAGGTGATAGCTATATTAAGAGTGTTGTTGGCTTTGTGTGCTTTCCCGCTAGTCTTTTTTATGGGTCAATATATGTACTCACTGTGTCAATATCTATCTGAATTGTTGCACAGGTACTCGTACTACTGGCATTATTTGATAATGGAAAATGTGCCTGACTTAGGTAACTCAAGTGAACACAAATCAATACAACCCAAAGCAATTCACCTTTAGCTTTAATCAGATAGGGTAAGGGCGTCCAGTTCTTTATGGTTTGGGAAGTTGTCTCTCAGGGAAAAGCAAGCCCACTTATTAGAATAGGAAGGGCTTGTTGCTTTCGAGTTGTTCTCGGGGGAGGCGACTCTTGTTGTTCTTTCCTAGGGTACGTCCGAAGGGAGACGACAAACAAAGCGTATTAGTTGATTGAGCCTTGCTTGACATCGCTGTTCCAGTCAATCAAGTTGTAAAAAAAAGAATCATAGTCTATCAGTTATATACTTTCACATCAGAGAGTTTTTTTGTTTTTGTTGAATATGCTGTAGTGCACCCCCTTCTTTCTCAAAATCAAGTTTCTCGCTTGTTTAGAAAAGCTTTACTGAGTTTATGAGGTGAAGGCACGAAGGAAGCCGCTTTACCTTGTTTAACCCCTCAAGTTCTATAATTCGAAGGAGGTGATTTCAAAGGTTTCAGATTCTCGGCTGAGAAGTTAGGAGGAAGCCGAATTACAGCAAGCATGAGGCATTTTTCTTCATTTGTGGGGAGAAATTTGTTGGTGGATTTTACCTCTAAATGGGGCAGCGTTCACTTGTACAAACAACCAAGAATGCCCTTCTCTTTCTAAATTGGACAGATTCCAACTCTCGGCTTTAGAGGGAATAGGAGGAGGAGCATTTTTTCAACGTCTTGCAGGAAGCACTTCTTAAACCCATCTTGGACCATATCCCCATTCTCCTAGCCAAGAGGGTGAGGGGGGGGGGAGGTATAAAGAGAAGGCCATCCCCTTTCAAATTTGAAAAAATGTGGCTGGAGGATGAAGGTTTTCTAGAAAAAGTCACTTCTTGGTGGTTCTTCCTTTTCGTTTCAAGAGAAAGCAAGCCATGTCTTTTGGTTGAAGGTTAAAGCCTTGAAAGAGGAAGTGGAATAAGGAGCAGTTTGGGCGGGTGGACTTGAAGAAAATGGAAGCTTTGGAGGAAATTGCGTACCTAGACCGCACAAAAGAATCAAGACCTCTATCATCAGCATAAATAGCTCTGAGAGTATCAGCCAAAGAAGAATGAAGGAGGCTAGCCCCAAACAAGTAAACAGAAAAGATTAGTTGGCGGCAAAAGTCGAGAATGACGTGGTTAAGGGAGGGGGATAAGAACACAAAGTTCTTCCATCGAATAGCGAACGCGAGAAGAAGGGTAAACACCATATCTAGACTAGAGGTAGAAGGGGTCATTATGGAGGAGGAGGAAGCGATTAGCGGTCGAAAAGTTCTACAAAGAGCTTTACGTGGAACCGCATTCGTTTCGACCGACGCTAGACGGAGTCTAATTTGAAAGCATCCCTATAGAGATGTGTGATTGGTTGGAAATGCCTTTTGAGG